GACATAAAATATCCTATTTTGGGCTAATTAAGATGGGGGTAGGGGAAATAAATGTATGTTTTTAGTCACTTTTACATATGCTATGAATATCAAATGTAACAAGAACTTGGCTAAATAGTTACTCCTCATTATCGTTAAAAAATTTAATCGGAATAATGACGTCATCACAAAAAAATCCAAGATGGCTGCCATTTTGCCGGTAAAACTCTTTTAAAATGTAAAATTAATTTTATTGTTATCAGAGCAATTTCAAAACAATATATATATGTATAAACCCACTGGAAAAAGAAATAGCGAAATTTTGCTCTGAAAGACCCAACAATTCAATTTCTGGACTCGGATCGGGGTAAATTAAAAAAACTATGGCATTATATTATTCATCTCTAGTTTTGCTATAAATGTGAAAATTGACAATAAACTTAGTTAACTAGTTACTCTTTATTGTCTTTATCAAATTTAATTGAAATGATCATAATGCCAATTTCCAAGATGGCGTTCATCTTTTTTATATAAAAAAATAAATATATAAAATTTACAGAATAAATTCAAAATGTAAATACAATCAAATTAATTAAATTAAAATTCATTCATTAAGCTACAAGAAAAATAATTTATCCAACTATACAAATAACTAATTTTTCATTATCATTACCACTAATACTGAATTAATCATTTTAAAATTTTAAAGAATAAATGAGATTGCACAAGTTAGGAATAAAGTACAAAATTACAAAAACTAAGAAAATAAATATGAAAAATTATTAAAAATTATTCAAAACAAAATAAATCAAAAGTAGAAACGACAGGAACTATTGAACTCGTTGGCTAAAAAGGTCAGTAATAAAAGTTTCATTGTAAAAGTCATTCATTTAATAAACTTATCAAAAATGGGATAGGAGACTTCCTATAGCGTTCAGTTCTAGAATTTGGCACAATAAATTTAGTGGAGCTTCTCATGTTGTAATTAGTAACTCTAACTTCAGGCAAAAAATCCCTATGCCTATCTGAATGTAAAAGGCTCTTAGCAAATCGAACACATATATTCTTCCTACGATCTTCTAGGGAATCAATTCCTAAAATATCCAGTAATTCACTAGTGATAAATATTTGGCCAACATAAAATACGAAGTGCTCGTTTTTGGAGAAAATGGTTAATTTTGTAAGATTTATTATTATTATTATTATTATTATTATTATTATTATTATTATTATTATTATTATTATTATTATTATTATTTAATAATAATAAATTAGGTGTAATAATAAAATAAATAATTATACAAAAAAAAGTGATTAAATTCCGTTGCATGTTCCTCAAGATTTTTTCATGGTGACTCTGGTTTGTGTGCCAGTTATGTTTTACCTGTTGGGCCATGTGGCCGTGTATTTAATTTTTGAATAAAGTGTGCCTAAATACAAAAATTATTATTATTATTATTATTATTACTATTGTTCTCAAAGTACAAATTACAATCTCATCAAAGCAATGTACACATATAGAATATATATAAATATTATTATTTTAATAGTAGTATTATGCTTATTTATTATTGTTGAAATCATTAATAATATTATGTATATATTATTACTGTATTGTATTTCTGTTATTTCAAAATTATATTTTAATATTAGAATGAATTACATTGTTAGTACTGTTTTATAATAATATTATTTATAATATTTTTATTACCACTATTGATATCATTACAGTATTATCATCATCCGTCATCATCATCCTCATCCTATTCGTCATCGTCATCATCATTCTCATTGTTGTCTAATCATCATAATCATCCTTACTATCATCGATCGTTGTAATCATCACAATCATCATCTTTTCTTCATTATCATCCTCATCATCATATTCATCCTCATCCATCATCATCATCAATGGCATAGCCAGCTATTGGCACAGTGGGACAGTCCCACACGATTTTTCCAATGGGTCCACAAAAAATGGGTCCACATTTTAAAAATGGGTCCAAATTATGGAATTTTATGCATAAAATGGATGCAGATTCCTAATATTTAGTTAAAAATGGGTCCAGATATTTAACATTTTTGCGTAAAAGGGGTCCACATTGTTTGAATTTACACGTAAAGTGGGTCCACTCTGATATCGTCCCACACCGTTTGAAAATCGATTTATTGATTGATTGATCCTCATCCATCATCGTCACCCTCATCACCATCCTCACCAATCATTGTTAACATCATCACCATCACCTTCATCCTACTAATCATCCTCATCCATCATCATCCTTATCCTCATCATC